AGAGGAGGTAGTTTACAGAATGTCCAAAGTCCACTGGCCCTTGGAATGTCTGAAGCCTCTCAACACCACCCCAACCCTCTCCCCCGACGTAGTTTATGGGCATAAAAGGTTTTGACACCCTCCTTTTGGGGCCACAGGTTGGAGAGACAGGAGTCCTCCGTGGCTGCTGGCAATGAAGACCCTACAATATGGCATACTTTTGTCTTGGTGTTGACTTTCTATGCTCGCTCCAGTACAACACACATGGAGGCCTGACATTCCTGTCTTTTTATACATAGAGAGAAAGAATTAGAGAAGGGGGGTGATAATAGGTTTTGGGGGGTAGGGAGTGAAATTGTTTCTCAAGCCTTCTTCAAGCGGGATTGGGAGTGTTGAAGGAACCTAAAAATGGGAAAGAATTTAGACTGTTGGGAGATTTCAGGGAAAGGGGTGATATTGTGGGGTTGTTAGAAGGAGTATCTGTCTTATTCACTGGTTATTGCTTGTATACAATTTTGCAGGAATTGAGAGATTAATTGGAAAAACACAGGGTTCAAATAAGAAAAGGAGAAAGATAGTATTAGAGGACTAAAGACTGGAAGAAGCCATGACTCCAGTTAGAGAGTGTCCAGCTAGGTCCAGAATAACCATTTGCCTGATTAATGAGCTTTTGGGCTCTTTTAATTTATTGATGGCATTATATACAAGGCCAGGCTGGTTTACATAAAAACAGCTTTCTTTAGGAATAGGCCAAGACCTTTTTTGGCAGTCAGTAAATTAAGTCCTCTGTGGTTTTGGAGGACAACTGCAGCTAGGGAATTTACTTGAGCTTGAAGGAGGGATAGTGATGGAGTTAATTCTCCAATGCTAGCAGAGAAATTATTAGAGAGGCTACGGAAGGTCCCGATTCATGTGGTAAGGCCTGTGCCAAGTGCAGTAGTAAATTATAATGCTACAAGAAAGGGGATTAATGGAATGAGCCGCTTGTGTTGTATTGGGACCATAAGAGGAACAGGGAGCTTTTGTCCCCATTAGCAAACTGAATTTTGGGAGTAAGAAAAACTAGGGTACAAGTGCCTATCTAGTTGGTAGGAAGGCAGATGTAAGAAGAACCACATGCATTGGAACCAAATCCTTTTCTGAGTGCAAAAAAAAAAAAAAAGAAGAAGAAGAAGCACAGAGGAAAAAATGGTCCTTGGCTTAGACAGAACTAGAAGTGTAAAGTGAAAAGATGAGAAAGTGTTCTGAGGGGGCTGGAGCTTTGGACCCAAATGCCAAGGGAACCAGCAAGAGCTGTGGCTATTAAAGGTTGTAGTGGGGCTTGGTAGGATAACGATGTGGAGGGAGAGCTTTTGTTTTCATGTTGTATGAAAAAGCGGGTGGTATTCATAAGCAACTACTTAACTTTTATTAACAAGATTGGGTATGAGTGGAGAACAGGAACCATATTAAGAGTGCAATATTAGCTGTAATTGCCTGGAGGAAAAGTGTAAACCGACAACTTAAACAAAAGCAGGGCGTGTGAAAGTCAATGAGTGCAGTGAATTTCAGTACAGTTAGAAAATAATAGAAACAGAGACTTTTTGAGTTATGGTTTAAGTAGTAGGGGTGACTGCATAAAGCTGGAGAAGGTGAGGAGCTGAAAGTAAGTGTGTGAGGTGTAAAGAGGAAACTTTGGAGGTTGTGAGAGCTATAGAGGGTAAGTGGGGCATAGCCTGTGATTTTGAGGGATTCTAAGAGTATTAGGGCGGCAGCTGCTGCCACTCGTAGTCATGAGGGCCAGTCCTGGACTGTGAGGTTAGGTTGTCTGGATGAAAAGGCTACAGGCTGTGGGCCTGGCTCTTGTGTAAGAATTCCAGTGGCACAGCATTTTATTTCTGCTGTGTAGATAGAGAAGGGTTGAGAGGAGTTGGGGAGCGCTAGTGTAGGGGCTGCCTCTAAGGCCTTCTTTAGCAACCTAAAGGAAGAATGTGGGAAAAAATTTTGGTTTATGGGATCAGCTAAGTTTCCTTTTGTAGGTTTATAAAGTTGTTTGGTTATGGGGCAAAAACCTGGTATTCAGATGCAAAAGTATTCTACAATGCCTAGGAAGGAGAGAAGCTGTTGTTTAGTGGATGGGGTTGGGGTCTGGGAAATTAACTGGATATGGTTGGCAGGGAGAGCATATGTTTGCTGGCGAAAGATTATAACAGATGGGGAAGAAATTTGGGCTTTAGAAGAAGCATTTTTGAGGTTAAGAACAGAATAATGAGTTGTGGAAGGGAGTATGGAAGACAGGAGGGTATAGGGGTTTGGTACAACCGAGTGGATGGGAAGTACAATCTGATTGATGAGTCAGAGTTTTTGGACTATCCTGCAGAGTTTGTCTGGTTTTTTTTTTTGACAGCTAGGATAGGGGAAGAAACCTGGGCTTTGGAAGGGGATACCAGATACCCCTTTGAGCATAGATGCTGAAGAAGCAGGAGGGTGAATTAAAAGGGCATGTTGCAATAGATGGATAACAGGCTTTACATCTTTTAAAGCCTGTTGTGGGATGGGGTACTGGGCAGGGTAAGGGTGGTTAGGTTTTAAGGGGATACTAAAGGGTGAGTGTCTCATAGCAATGGATCAGAAGGCAGTGTCCCACACCCTAGGGTTAAGGTAGGGGGACATATGGGGAGGTATGGTTTTGGGGAGGAGGGTGGCAATGAGGTGTGGCTGTAGCCTAGGAATAATCAAGAAGGCAGACAATTTTGCTAGGATATCTTGGCCTAACAGGGGAACTAGACAAGTGGGGATGATGAGGAAAGAATGTGGAAAGGAATGCTGGTCTAATTGACACCAGACTTGGGGATTTTTGATTAATTCCCACAACAGTTATGGAGGCCAAGGAGACAGGTCCTTGAAAGAAGGCAGTGTGGGGTGGGTGGCCTCTGTGTTGATTAAGAAGGGGATGGACTTACCCTCCACTGTAAGAGTTACCCAAAGTTTGGGTTTGGTGTCCATGATGGTCCAGGGGGCTTTGGAGATGCCTGGGCAGCATTAGTCTTCAGCCGCCAAGCCAAGGGTTGGAGGTCCAGGAGTTCTGGTAGCAGCAACCTGAGTTGGACAGTTGACTTTCTTTGGGGGCCCCTCAGAGATGGGGCAGGACTTAGGAGGAATCCTGGGCTGCAGGCATTCCTTGGCCCAGTTTTCTGACACTTGAAGCAAGGTCCAGGAAGGATGGCTGGACACTGCAGTCTGTGGTGTGGCTGGGGTTTGTCTTATGGCAGAGGCAAGTATTTGTAGTTTGAGATGCGCTGCCACCAGGCAGATTTTTCCCTATTATTGAACACTTTGAACGTGAGGTTGCTTAATTCCTGTTGTGGGGTTTGAGGGCCAGATTTTAATTTCTGTACCTTTTTCTAATGTTAGGGGCTGACTGGATGATAAAATGCATACTAAGCGTTCTTCAGGGGTGAGAGTAGAAGTAAGGATGACATTTAAGTTACTCCAGGTGAGATTATAGGACTGGGTTAAGTTACTCCAGGTGAGATTATAGGACTGGGTTAAGTATTGGAGGATTTGATAAAAAGGAGCCTAACCGGTGGCCAATTTGGGAAAGGTTGGACAAGGAGAAAGGAATGTGCACCTTAACTATGCCTTTAGCTACAGCCACCTCTTGAAGGGGGAATTGTTGGGCAGGGACAGAGGAGGTAGCCAAGGGACTAAACTGTAAGCTGAACTGTGTATGAGGTAGGGAGGTGACAGGAGGGGCATAAGGATGTGGGTTGTGGGCAGAGGAAGAAGAGGAAGGCTCTCGGGGGGTGGGGTTAGGTCCTGGATTAGGGCCTGGTTTGGACAGGCAGGGAGGAGAAAGATTGGAAGGGTTAATGAACAAGGAGGATTTGGGGTTATTGGCAGAGGAAGTTGGGGCAGACGGAAGGGAAGGGAAGAGAAGGAGTAGAGATTAGGGAGGGATTGGTGTATAAAAAAAAAATTCCTGAATGTAGGGAATTTTAGACCAGTTGCCCATGTTGCTACAAAAATTGTCTAAATCTTGTAAAATAGAGAGGTTAAAGATACCATTTTTTGGGCAATTGGAGCTGTTGTTTAACTTGTATTGTGGCCATGTAGTGTTACAGAAGAAGATGAGGCATTTGGGTTTTAGGTCATGAGACAGTGAAGAGGCTTGAGGTTCTTTAGAACACAGGCCAGTGGAGAGGAGGGAGGGATAGAGGACGGACGATTGCCCACGGTTCTGGAACGGCAGCAAAGGCAAGGAAAATGGGCACGCCATCCAGCCACTTAATAGGCATCCCTAGTGGAGCCTGAGTTGAACCTCCTCATTGGTGAGCGGCCAAAGACAGCATCCTCTACGTTGACCTGCCACCAATATCAGTCATGAACCTGGTGGGCAAGTGACTAGAGTGAACGTTTCCATTATAGTCAAACCCCTATGGAAAACTGGGTCCCTAGATCTGTGACCTGCATAGGATTTTTCCAGTCCTGAGCCACATGGAAGAACCTGGTTTTTCCTTGTCTTTGTGGTGGAAAAAGGATGAAACCGAAAGGGGGAGGAAGTGGAAAGGACAAGACAAAAGAATGGGAAAGCAAAAAGAGAGACTGTTTACCAAAATAGCCGGTGGTGTGCATCTGTGGGTTGGTCTGATCACCCCACGTCGGTAGATAGATCTCTTTATGAAACTTGGAACAGGGGACTAATCTCCCATAGATGTTCCCTTGTCTGGGATTTCGGCACCAAATATTAAAACTCATACTTTGAATGAAGAGACCGCCCCCCACACCCAAACAGGCTTTGTGTGAGCAACATGGCTGTTCATTCACCTGGGTGCAGGTGGGCTGAGGCCGAAAAGGGCGTCAGTCTGAATGGTTGATTTTCTTTTTTCTTCTCTCTTTTTTTATTTTTTTCACTCCCTGCCCCCCTCCCCCTGCCTTTTTTTTTGAGACAGAGTTTCACTCTTGGTGCCCAGGCTGGAGTGCAGTGGTGCAATCTTGGCTCACTGCAGCCTCTGCCTCCCAGGTTCAAGTGATTCTCCTACCTCAGCCTCCCCAGCAGCTGGGATTACAGGCAAGCGCCACCACGCCTGGTTAATTTTTGTGTTTTTAGTAGAGACAGGGTTTCTCCATGTTGGCCAGGCTGGTCTCGAACTCCCGACCTCAGGTGATTCACCCACCTTGGCCTCCCGAAGTGCTGGGATTACAGGCGTTAGCCACCACGCCGGTTGTTAATTTTCTGTAAGGAAACAAGGGATGGGCTGGAGCTAACATTAACTTTCTACGTGCCAAGCTCCATGACTAACTTTTATATAGATTCTTTTCACCAATTAATTTCATTCTCACCTTAGTCTGGTAAATTGGTTTGAAAACCTAGATATACAATATTTAAGGAGTTAAAAGCAATGTTCTTAATTGACAATTCAAATAATTATTAGCAATTTTAATATATGTTAAACATTAATATTTAACTATTAATATTATTAATCATGTTTTTCAGCACTGTTTCATTAAGTGAGAGAGCCCACCAAGCATTTGTTGTATGGAAAACACAAAGTAACAAATTATCACTAACTGCTGCAGCTTTAAGAGATCAACTAATTCGAGCACTAGCTATGATAGGAGCATATGAAATTATGGACAAAATAACAGCTTTAAATCTTTTTACACGTGTAATTAAATTCTAACCGGTGGATCAATATTAAAAACTGAAAACTTTTGATGCACTTATAATTGAAAATGTTTTTGAACCATCTCACTTCACTTTATCATACAATGAATTGCATCTCTTTTCTTGTGTTCTTAAGAGATGATGACGACTTATAACTACCACTCTAATGTTATCATAATAAACTGCCACTCTAATGTTATCATAATAAAATATTGCAGACATTGGTGTGTTTGTTCTGTTGTCTTATTATAGTGATGTTGAATTTGAAAATAATCCTATTAAAATTTTTCTATTATATAATGCTTTTATACAATCCATGATTTGTAGGTAGCAACTTTACTAGTGATTTTCACTGGGGTTAAAAAGCAGAACAGTTTCTTTTTAGATGCTGGCTTAAAAACATAAATAAATATACCATCCCTACTTTTTCTCCACTAGGAATTGGACAGCTTTGTTAAACATTATCTAGGACCAGGCCAGTAATTCTTTAGTTGAGTGTCCAGACAGGCTTGATAGAGTGGCCATCTGTTGTCTGTCATGTGTGTCTCTCCCCTTCTTCTGCTATCAGAAAACCTCTTTCATAGGGGGAATGCATTGCATATATTTCTATGTGGAGCTTACCTTGTCAGGTAAGTTTCTTCCCCCACTCCAGCACTAACAGCAATGTCTTCTACCCATTTAACCGCAATGATTGATTTTGACTCAGGGAAAGCCATTTGACTCAAGCCAGGCCATTAACAGTTTCCCTTAGATTTAGAGCTACCAGGGAAGATACACTCTTCCTGCAGGTAGGTTATGAGTCTTGGTATATCATGTGTAGTTGTCTGCTGAGAGCTGGATGGCGAGAGAGAGATGGAATCTTGCTTATATTATCTGATCCTCAATCCCCATATCTGAACCTAATTTTACTTCTGAACTTTTTATTTTTCACCCACTTAAGGAGTGTGACCTGAGTTTCCATAACTTTGAATGGAAAAAGACCTAATACAAGTGATTAACAATATTGTGGACAGGCTAGGCACAGTGGCTCACACCTGTAATCCCAGCACCTTGGGAGGCCGAGGCAGGTGGATCATCTGAGGTCAGGAGTTTGAGACCAGCATGACCAACATGGAGAAACCCTATCTCTACTAAAAATACAAAGTAACTAGGGCGTGGTGGCAGATGCTTGTAATCCCAGCTACTTGAGAGGCTGAGGCAGGAAAATAGCTTGGACCTGGGAGGTGGAGGTTGCAGTGAGAAAATCGCACCATTGCACTCCAGCCTGGGCAACAAGAGCAAAACTCCATCTCAAAATATATATATATAAACATATTGCCATAGTGCAGTCTTTGTTACCTTAAAAAAATTTAACAAATGAGCAAACTTAAGACGTTAAAAAAATTAAGTGATATAAACTGGTTACTCTCCCTTGAGAAATGAAGTTCTAAAGAAATAACTTCAAGAAAATGTTCTAGGTGAAGATTTGGTATGAAGTAAGAGAGAGAGAAAAAAGAAGAAAGTTGGATAATATCAGAACCGTGAAAGTGCCCAGTTATTATCAACTCTTGCTAAATTGCTACCTTGCTATGCCTTTTAACATATATCCTAGCCCAGAGACTCACCCAAACCACACTGTACATTGCTACCTGACTTATCTTCTAAAAACAGTGACCTAACCATATCACCCTCTGATAAAACATCTTGCTAAAAATACAAAAATTATTCAGGCATGGTGGCGCACACCTGTAGTCCGAGCTACTTGGGAGGCTGAGGCAGGAGAATCATTTGAACCCAGGAGATGGAGGTTGCAGTGAGCCAAGATTGTGCCACTGCACTCCAGCCTGGGTGACAGAACGAACTCCTTACCTGAGGTCAGGAGTTCGAGACCACCCTGGCCAACATGGTGAAACCCTGTCTTTTAAAAAAAAAAAAAAAAGGGAAAAGCAGATTTGCCAGCACCAGGTGCACATTCCTGAGAAGTGGCTGCTGCATCTACACAGGGCATTTAAAATTTATATATTAAAAAAAAATAAAAAAGGCTGGGCGTGGTGGCTCACACCTGTAATCTCAGTACTTTGGGAGGCTGAGGCAGGCAGATCACCTGAAGTCAGGAGTTCAAGACCATCCTGGTCAACATGGTGAAACCCTGTCTTTAAAAAAAAAAAAAAAAAGTCCAGCTGGAAACCTAAAGGGACCCAAATTAGGCAAAACAATCTTGGAAAATGAATAACAAACTCGGAGAACTCATACTTCTCACAACGTTCTCTCTCTCTCTCTCTCTCTCTCTCTCTCTCTCTCTCTCTCTCTCTCTCTCTCTCTCTCTCTCAGACACGGTTTCACTCTGCTGTCCAGGCAGGAATGCAGTGGCACAATCACAGCTCACTGTAGCCTCAACCTCTGAAACACAGGTGATCTTCCTACCTCAGCCGCCCAAGTAGCTGGGACTATAGGCATACACCACCATGCCTGGCTAATCTTTTGGTACCTTTTTTTAGAGATGGGTTTTCACCAAGTTGCCCAAGCTGGTCTCGAACTCCTGGACTCAAGTGTTCTGCCTGCCTTGGTCTCCCAAAGTGCTGGGATCTCACTTTCAAACCTATTACAAAACTGTAACAGTCAAGACAGTGTAGTTCTGGCATAAGGATAGACATATAGACCAAAAGAATAGAACTGAGAGGCCAAAAATAAACCCAAACATATAGTTAATTGATTTTTAACAATAGTGTCAGATGATTCATTGGGGGGGAAAACAGTATTTTCAACAAATGTTGCTGAAACAACTAGATCTACCAGCAAAATACTAAAATGGAGTTGATTCTCTGTTTTATTTCACTATGGTCTGGGAGAGTACTTGACATAATTTCAGTTTTCTTAAATTTATTGAGACTTGTTTTGTGGCCTATCATATGGTCTATCTTGGAGAAAGTTCCACGTGCTGATGAATAGAATGTATATTCTGCAGTTACAAGGTAGAATGTTCTCTAAATATCTTTTAAGTCTGTTTGTTCTAGGATACAGTTTAAGTCCTTTGTTTCTTTGTTAATTTCCTGTCTTGATGACCTGTCTCGTGCTGTCAGAGGAATATTGATGGCCCCCACTATTACTATGTTGCTGTCTATCTCATTTTTTAGGTCTAGTAGTAACTGTTTTATAACAATTTGGAAGCTCCAGTGTAAGGTGCATATATATTTAGGATTGTGATATTTTCCTGTTGGACAAGGCATTTTATCATTATATCTCTTTTTGTCTTTTTTAACTGCTGTTGCTTTAAAGTTTGTTTTGTCAAATATAAGAATAGCTACTCCTGCTCACTTTTGGTGTCCATTTGCATGGAGTATCTTTACCCAACCCGTTACCTTTAGTTTATGTGAAATTTATCTTTTAGGTGAGTCTCTTGAAGGCAGCAGATAGTTGGTTGGTGAATTCTTATCCATTCTGCAATTCTGTATCTTTTAAGTAGAGCATTTAGGCCACTTACATTCGATATTAGTATTGAAATGTGAGGTACTATTGCATTCATTGTGCTATTTGTTGCCCATATAGGATTTTTTTTTTTTTTTTGAGATAGAGTCTTGCTCTGTCATCCAGGCTGGAATGCAGTGGCACAATCTTTGCTCACTGCAACCTCTGCCTCCCAAGTTCAAGCGATGCTCCTGCCTCAGCCTCTCAAGTAGCTGGGATTGCAGGCATGCACCATCACACCCAGCCAATTCTCATATTTTTTTTTTTTTTTGAGATGGAGTCTCACTCTATCACCCAGGTTGGAGTGCAGTGGTGCAATTTTGGCTCACTACAACCTCTGGCTCCCAGGCTCAAGCAATTCTCCGGCCTCAGCCTCCCAAGTAGCTGAGATTACAGGCATGTGCCACCATGCCTGGCTAATTTTGTATTTTTAGTAGAGATGGGGTTTCACCATGCTGGCCAGGCTGGTCTTGAACTCGTGACCTCAGGTTATCTGCCTGCCTTGGCCTCCCAAAGTGCTGGGATTACACACATGAGCCACAGCTCCTGGCCTGTATTTTTCAGTAAAGATGAGGTTTCAGCATGTTAGCCAGGCTGGTCTTGAACTCCTAGCTTCAAGTTATCTGCCCACCTTGGCCTCCCAAAGTGCTGGGATTACAGGTGTGAGCCACCATGCTTGGCTTTATTGTATTTTTGTTTTATAGGTTCTGTAAAATTTATGTTTTCTTTTCTTTAACTTTTTAGCATTTTAGATTTTTTAATAGAGACGGGGTTTCACCGTGTTGGCCAGGATGGTCTCTTGAACTCATGATCCACCTGCCTCAGCCTCCCAAAGTGCTGGGATTACAGGTGGGAGCCAACACACCTGGCCAAAATTTATGTTTTTTTTTTTCTTTGAGACAGAGTTTCGCTCTTGTTACCCAGGCTGGAGTGCAATGGCGCGCTCTCAGCTCACCGCAACCTCCACCTCCTGGTTTCAGGCAATTCTCCTGCCTCAGCCTCGTGAGTAGCTGTGATTATCTGGGCACCACCATGCCTAGATAATTTTTTTGTATTTTTAGTAGAGACAGGGTTTCACCATGTTGACCAGGATGGTCTCGATCTCTTGACTTGTGATCCACCCT